GCGTATTCAAGTCGCCGAGAACGATGTGTGTTGCATTGTCTTCGAAACGATCCACTGGAAGATAGTCGAAGAAAACGGCTTTGTCATGATCGTCCACTGGCTAGTGGACGTGGTGGATATACACGGGAGCATTGGCAACTACCAGCTGAACGACCAAATAGCGTCCCAAAACAGTCAGCTCTCGAAGCTCCGTAGCTGTGTCGAAACCTGGAAAATCGGGACGGATCACAGTGATCACACCGCCAGATCGGTGTGTTGTCTGTGAAGCACTGACCGCGCCAGGGTCACTGACGAAAAGCTTGTGTTTGAAGCGGGACTGAAGATCGAATTGGAAATTATCAAGATGGTGGCAATCGCGAAGTTTGGTTTCTTGGATGCAAAAAAGACTATATTTTTATATCCAGATCGGTGTGTTGTCTGTGAAGCACTGACCGCCCCAGGGTCACTGACGAAAAGCTTGTGTTCAAAGCGGGACTGAAGATCGAATTGGAAAGGATCAAGATGGCGGCAATCGCGAAGTTTGGTTTCTTGAATGCAAAAAAGACTATATCTTGCAGGTAGGTGATCAACGAGTAGATGCTTATTTTTCTTGATCCCATTGGCGTTGACGGTCGACAAGCTGACGTCTTGCCATGACACTTCAGGTACATCTACGCGCGAAATCACCTTAGTTGTTCAGCGCAAGCTTTCGGGCCGTAAGCACAAATTCTCTTTCAGCTTGCTGAGCTGCTACACTTCTGCATTTTCTGGGAAGAAGTGGTCACATTCCCGAGGATACTTAAGGTCATCCAGCATATATCCTTGCCATTGGGCCTCTTTCTTAACTTGAGAGCTGTGCATGCCGATCTGTGAGCGAAACAGGACCAACAACATATTGGGGTGTATCATACGTTCATTTTGTGCTGGGATCCGAGTTACTGACCATTTGTCAGACGCTGAGGCCAATAATCCTTTTCATAGATCACGGGTACCGTACAAATCAACATCAGCTCAAAGAGCGATAGAGCTCTGGTCGCACGCGTAATGATCGCTGGATTCGAATCGTTCCACCACGATGCAACTCATCAAAATACATCATCACATGTCTTGGACTACCAGGTGGGGACATGACCTGGGAGCCTGCAGTGCCAAGAGAGATCTCGCTAGACGCTGGACCGTCATTAGAGGCTGCTGCGGAAACAATGTCAGCTGTCCTGGTGGGACGTTCGCGGAGCGATCGCTGAAGCGAGGATTCATTTGTACTTCGACTTACTACCACAGCATATGATAACCGTGTCGGATTTAGATCCGGTCTGGCGCGGGTGGGTGTGGAAGTCCGGGCAACGTCTTCAGTCAGGTCGAGCGATGGATGGATCGTTGACCGAACGACATGCGCTGTGTCCAAAGAGAAGCGTTCTTAGCATGTACCGAGTAAATGCGACCAGCCAAAACGAGCTAGTCGCACACAGAGCCGCGAACAATAAGCTTGGGAGGGCATCGACCAGAACGGAAGTGCACACGCCACGTGGCTGTGGTGATCACCGCTGCTAGATTTACATCTCGGAATGTACCGTATATCGGTTGTGCTCCGAGCTCGAAGAAGCGTTTCAGTATGAGGTCTGCGCCAAAATTACTATTGACACATCAATGAAAAAGAGGTCGGCAAGAATATCAAACTCGCTGAATCTATGACTACCCCGGAGAACCTTGACTTCCTAACCAACGAGGTTCTGGCGGGCTACTTTTGTTTTCACCTTGATATGGATGTTACCACCAGGTGCTTTAGTCAGCCGACTCAGTTGCTGTTGGTCAATCTGCTGCCGGACGACGGTGTTACCATGGTCCTTGAGCAGCGAGGCGAGGGTTTCGCTTGGCGCGGTGAGCTGGAATGCGTGGCCAGTCTCAATGATCATCACATATCAGCACGTATGGGCGAGCTCGTTCAATCGAGGCGGCGAGTTGACTCCAGCCACCATCAGCTTCATACAAAGCATCAATTTCTGTAATGTCTACTGCTTTGGGCCGTGGCATCTCGACAGGCGGTGGATTAGATGTCTTAACGTTGTTCGCGACGGATCTTGGAGGAGCGTTAAAGCAAGGGGCGAAGCGACGGTGTACCCGCGGTTGTTTGGACGCTCGGACGTGTCCCTTCAACGGCGGGTGGCTGGAGAGTACTGCTATTGGCAGATGCCCTGTATTGGCGCGTGTTGTTGGCATTCTGCACATCCTCCCTAGAATCCTGCGTAACATGCGGACTCTTCATAGAGGGGGCGCGCAGCTGCACATTTATACCATCGTTTGAATCTTGCAAATATCGTGTCACAGAGCCGGAGACAAGATCCTGGTCCGTGCATAAAAGCGAAGCTTGGCTGTATACTTGGACCCCGCCGGCAAGTGGATTAATGGGTACCGACCCAGCAGAACCACCTGTTGGAGTGACTACCAGAGCTCCCGCGGTAGATGGGCTGCCGATGCGTGCTTGAGGAGCTGGGCGTGAACCTACAACACCCATCACACAATCATCTTGCGCTTGAATGGTGAAACGATGGCTGGTTTCGGTTACCATGGAGACGAGGCGTTTGGAAGGGTAGGGCTGAGGTATTTCGGTAAATGGTCTGGTCGACTTGATCGCGACGAGGCAAATTGAGACGTACACTCATGACTGATGTTTCATTCCAACCAGGTCGAAATTAGGGTAATATCAGGCTCAGAGTAAAGCAGTGGCTTACGTATTAAAGTCTTAGAGCCTAAACATAATCTACGACCTGACTTAGCTATCCAAAAAAACTTGACATACTCAAAGCCTTAGAATATTCTATGCAGTCAGCTCTGCGTTGAACTTGGTTGCATAAAGCTTTTGAATCTATCAAGGCTTTCCATTGCTGCACGTAGCCCGGCTTGTTGATTTAACGACTAACAATGTTGGGTTATCAGCTGCGTTTCTCTTAAATAGCTTTGGCCCCGAGAGATGTCTGCCGTATTGCTCAGCTTGAGAGATCTACTATTCGAAGGAATCTATTGTGAGCAGAAAGATACGCAGGAAAGGGAAGCTGTTGTTGAGGCACCTGCAGATATCAAGACTCCGGTCAGCAGCCAATAATTAACCAAATTGGCTACGATCGATCGATTTAATTATCTGAAGTTTGGTCCTGCAATTAATACACCAGTCATTGCTTCCTTAAAAGAGGGTTGAGATTACATGGAGAATTCTTCGAAGACTTTCCAGCACTATGGTAATTGTTGTCGATATCAGAAAGCTACTACCATTGTGGCTAATAGGAACTTCAACATTTCCACCGAGTCAGACATTTTTTCTGATACTTTGATGTAAAATGTGATTGTACTCCATAAACAATGCCAGGCGGCGCAAACATTCGTGACATCGACTTCCCAAGTTGAGGATGCCTCATAAATAACAATATTGCACATCGGTGTACTATCACGAGCGCAACAATCTAGCTTGGAGTTTGCCAGTGCGGCAAATATTTCCCTTAATGGCATTTTGATTTCTTGGAGTTGATCCCCTTTATTGCATTTTAATCTCGTGAAAATGATCAACTGTATCGCATTCTAATTTAATTTACCTAAAGAATTATATTTTAATTGTCTCTGCCCTTAAATGACTTGACGCGAGAAAAGGCGGTCATAATTCGCATGGGTTTGAAGGTGTTGGTGGTACAATATTGACGATTCATTGGGAAGTTTCTCTCGATGTATGCGTTTAGCTGGTTAAATTCTCAACTTCCGCGCCAAATTTTTGTATCACTAAAGCCCATCATAGAGCATATTGGGTCAGATTAATGAAGAAATTCGCAACATTTTGAGAAAGGGTACAATATCCCTAATACATCGAGGGAAGACAGGTGCTGCATGATGACCGTGGAGCTTGGGCAGCTAAAGTTTGATTTGTAGAATCGACTGCATTGAGCGCTGAGACAAAGGGTTCAAAAGTCGTTTCTCGGCTGCGGATCGGTACATCTCGGTTCATTACATGGTTCGGTTTGAAGAACATATATATTGGAGTATTATTTGACTAAATCGAAATATTGACTTACGTGATTATTTCTTGCCAATCTCTTAAACATCAGTTGACGCAATTCGCGAGGCAAAGCATTTCTGCTTGTTGTACGTTAGATTATATCACTGTACAAATCGATAACAGCAATTCATCAAAATATTATCCCACGGTACTACATCCACTACATATATGAGCCGAAAGTCGATAGTGTAATGGAAATTTAATGCGTACAAATGGTCTAAATTACAGCCTTCTTTTATTTTTTTCTCTGGATTAGGCAAGGGTCTATATTATTATTATTAGTGGCCTCTTAAGCTTGCTGTAATTTACACTCGTCTCGACGAGCAAGCTGAGATCTTTAAGCTGGCCACTCTCTGATACGAAAAATATGCATGTGTGCGTAGCAAACTCGTCGGTGACTCTTGTTGTGATGAGGCTTCAGTGAAATGAAAACATACTTTATATAGTCAAGCCATAAAAAAAGAAGCAAAATTGGTTAGTCACTCTAACGAATAGCTCACGCATTCCTACACCCATCTGAGAGCATTACGCCATCACCACCGAAAACGGTCTTTGTGATGCCAGTCCAGGGTCCCCGTCCATCCTGGCAACCTCTCCAGATACTTGCTTGAAAGCGCAGTGATACTTTTCGGTGCTATTCAGCCTTTTTGGGTGTAGAATAAGTATTTTTGCCGTGATGTTTGAACAATCTTACGTACAACAAACGTGATTTATGATGCGGGCGGGATTCACATAGTGGAACGAGGTCCATGTCAGTGTGATGATGCTTCAAAAGAAGACGTGGTGCTGCAGCCGGTACGTATAAATAAATTAGGACTCTATTATGATGTATGATTAAGCGTATCAATTATAATCTTAACTGGTTTCATCTAAGTCGAAATATTTCAATTCCCAAGCAGAACATATAAAGTACCTTGAGCTCAAGTCAATCTTGTCCTACTAACGATATATAATTCAGTCTACGATTTTGCTCACGCAGATTCTAAAAGCTAAAAGCTTCCTCTGTGCAAAGCAGAGCGGCAACGCTCTTGCATTTTTGTATACTTTGTAATCACGGTGTACCATGCAAAAAATTACATACAATAACCGTGATCAATTTGTTTTAACTATAGATTTGTCCTGACTGAATTTGTTTTTTGCTTAGGTTGTACTGCCTCGACAAGCCGTGCAACCGCGGTATCGCAATCCCTGATAAAGACAACTTGACCTCACATGTTTATGTCGGTCAAACAGCGCTCGGAAGATTCATCCCTTCACGTATCTAGACATTTAGAGTGTATTTTTGGAATCAAATCAAGAACGAAATGATGTATAATATATATTTATACTGAAAAACCCATCTTAGTAATGGAATGAGACAATCTAGATGCTAGCCTCGTTCCACCAGGCCATCGTATTTATCGCGACACTTTCTCATCAGACTTACATTGTAACTTCTTGACTTTGCATTGAGTCTATGGAACAACAGTTTGATATAAATAATCAATGTACTCTTTCCATCGTAATGAAACTCTACTGGAAAAAAAAAATAGTTTTGCTCTTGACAAGGCACTTTCTGTGAACGCTCTACGAGCAATCAATGCACTAGTACTCCCCCCAGATCAACATCAATAGGGCAAAGGCCTCATCGCGCCTAGGGCTCCTTCCTTTTCTCTATGTACACGAATATGGTATGGCTCGGTGATCCATTGCTGGCCAGCGTCTTAGAGGTCTTGTTTGATAAGGAATGTGAGGTATTCCAGAAATAATAACACACTACATGCGTTTTCTCCGCAATCTAATTGCTATGCCATTTCCCATCCACAGAAGTCTCTCTGGGATTGGTCGCCCCATTGTTTCCTTTTGATTCAGCGAGTGTTAGGCGCATCGGCCCGCTGTCTAAGCCGAAGCGTTTTTGAGACATCTAGTCACAGAGACCCTATCAAGGTGTAACCCATCATGAATGTTCTGGACTAGCTCAGCAAAGTTTACTTGCTTGTCCACTATCGCAAAAGTAAATGCGACCAATGTAGTCTCTCTAGACTCTTGGACGTTGTGATTAGAATTCGATCGACTCCACATGACGCAAGTCGCTGGCCAGATTGGGGTGCAGCATCACATTAAGCCTGCGGCTATGTCAAAGCGTAAATCGGTTGCGTGAAACTTTCTCATTTTTTCACGTCCGGGGGTTATTTGTTTATGCTGGATCAGAGACGGTTAAAACTGTAATATGCCTTTTTTAGGACTCTAAACGTGGTACTTTGGTGTGGTGATGTGTAAGGAATCAATCCGCTAACACCATATGCTGTATTGGTACGATAGAGAACGTCCATGCTAATGGACTGCCATTTTCTTGCTGGAATCGACCGACTGTTTGCGGGCGCTGATGCATACGAAAAGAAAAGTCCAAGTTGGCACGAATCACTCGTGCTCACAAAAGAGCTTGCCCATTTGAGCACCTTAACCTACCAGTATACAGCGTTGACTATGTTATACATCGAAAAAACTCTGGAGAGGCATGTATTTTGTATTAGTACAGTATTATGTAGTTGTAGTCTCCATCGTGAAGTACAAACACATGCTATTTGTCTGGAGAGACCGTGTTGTAATACAGACCGACTAACTACTAATAATTGACTGGGGGTAAGCGCGCTTCAGATGTCTGGAAAAATTCTGAGCTCGAAAACACCCAGTTTCCTAAAATATTTTGTAGTGCAGCACATGTCATGTTGCGTCTGGTCACCCCACGTAAGCTTTGGTGACATGTGACATAACTAAGACAATGCATAGTCTGAGAGACGCGTAAGTGTATCCGCTACTAAACAGACGGTTGATTTCGTTCTTTGTCGCAAAGATGTGATCGGTAAAAAAGAATAAACATCTTGCCGTACTTTGAGAGATGTGTGCTTTTGTCAGGGTTGTAGACGAAAGACTATCCATTTCAATCACTCCAGTAACTCTATGACATATGGCACTTGGTGTCAAAGACTCAGTTGTACCGCGACATCGTGATAACGATAGACCATCCTTCGTAAACAACTCGTCTTGGCCTTGTATATGCAACTCATTCACCACAGCATTTTGTTTTGGTCCCCGCCATATGCAGTTGCTCTTTTCTCTACCACTCAAAATAACATTTAAAGACCCAGCTTACAGTTAAAAAAAACTGTCGTAATGGGAGTAACTTGGAGATTGTGGCTTATATCCGTCTCAGCGGGTATATACTTTAGAGACCACGATTCACAGCCGCTTCTATCTTCTGGTTTTAAATCGGGTTTGGGCTGCAAACTATCTCGGGCATTCACACGCCCTGTATTAAAGCTTGTGCAGCTTCGTGTCCACGTCAAAAGCGCAATTTTCTTTCAACAAGAAATTATACGACAAAAGCGTCTATATTCTACTACGAGACAAATGCGTGGCACATACCGTGATCAAACTCCGGTTGGTTTGTCACTCATAGCGTTCCGACCGCGCCATTCCAAGAATGAAGTCAAACACTGTTAGAAAGGGTTCGGCTATTAGAGAAAACTAGATGTTTAGCTGGTGCCTACGTCTCAAGACTAACAAATCAAGCATACACACGTGGCATTTCTAATATTTTTGCGTATAATCTTAATTCTTGACTATAGTACGGCGCATGTTATTGCACAACGCCCCAAAAATAAATAAGGCTTTCATGACTTCACAAATACCCCACTTTAAGGTCAATGACCAGCCTTTTTTGGACTGTGACAACCATCGCTTAAGATTATAGTCGCTTGGTACGACTAATATTGACTTTTAAGAGGTACAAAAGAGCTAAGTTTGTTTTAGTAGATCACCTGGACTCACTGGGTCCCCGCGATGGGCTTATCGGGCGCCATGCACGGGTGTTCAGAGTTCGTACCTCTTAACTAGGGAACACCCGCGGTGAATTAGATATAAGCACTTCCATTGATTTAAAATCTGTAGGTACCATAGCGCTGCTCAGCAGCTAAAAGATAAATTGTTCTCGCCTCAGCTTGGCTAAGATCTACCGCCTCCGTTGTGCTCATTGCGTCACACCTACCGGCCTTCTTGACTTGAAATCTGTACTCCGCATCTGATGCACATCCTCATATAATCAAATTAGGTAAGGTATGTGAGCGAATGCTGCAGACCTGTTCTTATCATTCATGCGCAGATGAACTCAAAAATCACGGTGACCGTGATCAATTTCGAAAGGGTGTCGGTCGGCATATCGAATTAGAAGGTGCGGGGATCCACAACATCTGTCGTTATTACTATGATAAACGCCTGATAGTGCCTATCTATGCGCGCAATTTCCAATTTGATATTGCTAATGTAAAGCGATGTAGAGTAATCTAGAATATGGTCAAGTATGTTTCCATTTTAACTTAAGAAATTCAAAAATTGGGAGTCTACCCGCCCTTGCCACTAATAACCTTAAAGCATTTTTAGAAGCCGGTAATGCTTCTGACGGCGTCTAGAAATTACTTTCCGAGAGGTGTTTTACCTTTATATTTCTAAAAAACATACACATCATCGGGTGAGCGATAACCGCCTGCAAACATTTGGTCTAAGTTGCACCATTCTTTTGAAACAAGTGAAGAATTATTAACCATCACGGTATTGATTACATGGACGTTTCTTGGCTCTTTCCTTCGAGATATATGATGGATCAGATGCGTTGCGATGAGAAATCATTCTCTATGGGTATACCGAGGGGTTAATCAAGATAGAGCAATCTTTCTTAGGAGGTCCTGAAAAGTGCAACACCGAGATTTTCGACTGCCTACCGACAAACGCCTGCGCCTGGATTCCTTTTTATGTGTATTTACGACTTCTTCACCAAAAATCAACCACTGTTCCAAGTCTCGCGGGTAGAAGTGTTATTTGGCTCACTTGAAGCACCGTCGCCGTATTTAATAATTTACGTAATAGAAATGGCATTTCAGCGTTCAGCCATCGTGAAATTCGAAAGTTAAGTATGTGGCTCTCGATGTCATCTAACTCAATAATACGGTTTTGGAGCGGTCTGTGTTCGAAAAATTTATCTCGCGAAACCCTTGCCCTTCAAAGACTCAGCGTCCTTACGTCTCTCCTCAATATCCACATATCGTTTGTCACTAAAGCTCTTCATATCCCCCCAGTTGCTTCGTCCCTGGGGTTCTCCAGCGTCCGCACCAACTACATTTCCTTTGGTATTTTTATTCAGCCAACACGAGTTCCACCGTGCTAAAATGACCTTTCTACTTCAACAGCGACAAAAAAGCAACATCAAACTAGCTTTATTCAATAAAGAATCTTGTGAAAGTTTTTAACATATTACGCTATGATAAACGCACAATACGTCTTGAAGAGTCCCGACCTGCCATTTCGGCATCCGAATAAAGCAGCAGAGTTCTCTCAACTGGTAGCACACCGGGTAATGTGATTTTTATCGATACTTATTGACGAGGATGGGAGTGTACGATCCTCTTTCGCAAGAAAGAGTCCTCATATAGGTGCGGCTTGCACCGAATTCACTCAACATTATCTGAGAATGCAGTGGTTGTCGCCTTGAGTACGCTTCATCTACTCGTGCCGGTTAAAGCGGAGTATTAAATTTCTTGTTTGCGCTAGAAGCGACAGACCTCAGCATAGATGAGGAGAAGAGCGATGGCTCGGCTGCCGACAGTACCGTAGAGATTACTGACGTTTTACCCATGGTAGATCGTAAAGTCAATGCTTTCTGTGTCACCGTCTCTCTCGGCTGGGAGATGCATACGGTGGATCTCCCAACCGTGTCAAATTGTAAGCCTCTCGCATGACGCCACCGAGGTTAAGAAGGTGTAAATTGTTTTGCTGGAAAAGGACTGGGTTCTTTTGTACCTCAGGTTGAAATCGACGGGTCTAAGGCTTAGAATTTGGAGAGCTTTCATTACCAGAGGGTTTATTGGCTGCCAACACTTTGTGAGTCTTTGAAAAGGCATGATGAATAGAAAATCACATGCGATGCGCGGCTGTCAAAACAGTAGCAAATACACACGGGTATTGCGGGTGCCATATGCAGATACCAAATTTGTGCATTTTGCGTCAAGAACACTTGTTACAGAGTCTAATGTTCTTTTCGTTTGATTAAAGAATCAGACTTAACAGCGTGGATACTTCTCACTTCTATACTTGAGGTCAATATACGACCTCATTCTTTGATATGGCGTGACTGAAAAGCCATGAACCATGGACATGCCAGAAATTTAAATATTCTGTGTCACGCACTTCTCTACTAACGGGGCTTTGACGAATCATGAACCGGTTTCGGATAGAATTGGATTTACGTTTTACGCCGGTATGAGACTGCAACAGCGTCAGTTGTGGGGCATGAAACTGTCTGAAACAATCAGCAACAGTATTGCTGGGTGTTCAGTCATGCCCAAATAGCAGATGTGTCAGTAAGCCGGAGTTTGCAAACTGTATCTTAGATAAAACGGATGTTACAGCTGTGTGCCAGGGTATTCAGCTCACAGCTCTCGTGGGATGGATGAGCAGCTTCGGTGCCAAGATATGTGAGGCAAAGACTTACGAGGACTTAAACTGCAAGACACGAGTCGACATTTTACGCTTTAATTTTGTTATGGATAGTTTACCCTGGTACATTTTTAGGTGTGCTACGTCGCAAGATTGGTGTAATATGCCCGCCGGGCGAAGCGACATTGATTTATGAAGAAAAAGCTCATTAACTCGTAGATTGAGTGACTCAGGTAATCCTAGGGAATTGATGTTGTCTTTCTGTATCACAGACAAGAGATCTCGATTAAAAATAGTCAATCTTGGGAAGTGTCAGTAATAAATTTGCAAGATGTTGACATCTCCAATTTCGTACAGTACGTTCCGAGAGAGTCGGTTATTGAGACACTTACGGGAAAAAAAATGAATGAGCGTGACAAGCAGAACTGCTTTTCTCAAGAATCTTATTAATCCTCTTTTAATCTTTGCTGAAAGAATATTTCGATGTGATGACGAGACGTTTGCTACTTGTATAATCTCGGATTGTGGTTGGGTCATAAAAATGATCTTTTCCGTTAAGCAAAGTATTGCGTCACATGACGACGTCCTATAACAAGAGATACTGTTACATCATAGACGCTATCTCCTGTGCAAAACACGGGCAAGATAGTTAGTAAGGCCGCATACTTGGCGGAGAATTTTCGCGTCGGAAAAATGAACGGTATGTTGCTGAATCCAGTTCAAGCATTTAACTATTATACCTACGCTTGGAATACCACATCAGTATTAATAACTCGCTAGGCTCATAAAATGGCGGACCAACGTGTACAAACTGGTATACATTCATGTGCAAACGATGGCATGTCCAAGCTACTAATGATTAAACCCGCGACATACTTCGGTACCACTTGACAGTTTGCCTGTATCAGAAAAAATGGTTTTTGTACATAAGGATAAACTTTTTTTTCAATCTTTCAAAGGTGCATCTAAATATACTGATATCGTAGCTTTTGTATACCATACGATCAAGATAGCTCAATTCACTGCTATCCACGACTTCGTATCGGGTCGATATACAGCCAAAGTGTTCCTGTAGCGGGGCTGCCGTAGCTTAGCGCTTAGAGGAAGCGTAAGTTAGGTCAACGACTTTTCGTTTTATACTTAGAGCAAGTACGAGTCTAGCGGATCGCAATCCGCTTACTCCAAGAGTAATTACAAATTTAACCCAAGGCTAATTGACTCTTCCGTTCAAACTCAAGAACCGACTTTATTTCATTTTTAATTGCGGCAAAGCCGCCTAATTTTAACTGCATAAATTTCCCTAAATATATATAGTACAATCTCAATACCTGCATAACTACTCGCTATCCAGCCCCGTACCGAATTCTTGTTTGGGTGTGGTCACACCATGCCCATCTGGTGTGACACACACCCCTGTCACCAGTGTATGTGTAACCCTCCCCCAGATTGAGAACATTTTCAGTTCCAATCGATTATTGCCTCAACGAGGCTTGTGTGTCCGTTAGACACTGCGTTGGAACGAAA